TCTTTCCCTGTTGCCCTCCCTGCACTACCCCATGTCTTGTTTCCCATTCTGAGCTCTCTGATCCAACCCGTCAAGACCTTGTTCTTTCTCTGCCTGGTTCCCCGCTGGAATTAGAGCAGAGATCTTGCGCTCGCTCTCTCCGCTCCCTGCGGGATCTCAGAAGGTGGAAGAAAAGGGACAAAGAGAAGAAAGAGAAGGAACCATTGTGGGGGGAAGGAAACATGAGATAAAAGGAGGAGAAACTTAGTACCCAGGAAGGGAGGAGTGTTTACTGTCTGGGCAGATACCTGTGCTGCTTGGGCCTTAGAGCAGCAGTCCCTCAGGGGATGTGGGAAGTTAATTAACTGAGGCAAACCATGGATTTCGGAAAGGCAAGCAGGTGACTGAGAGTCATGGAAACGTGGAGCAAGAGCCTCCTCTTAAGTATTTGGCACATAGCCTCTCGAGATCTGTGTAACTACTTTTGTACGGAGCTGGAGTTATCAGTGATTGTTGTCATGAAACAGCTGCACTGCTCCAGCAGATTGCTTGTCTCTTTGCATTATACTTGTGTGGTTTGCCTTCTAGGACATGCTGTATGATACGTGCTTATACAAAAATGTAAATGACACCAAAAATGGGATGGCTGCAGTGGTTTTCATAGGTCATGCCTTGATGGGATATGGGAGAGGCCACACATGGAGAGGGTCAGGGTGTCCCCGGGAAGTAGGATACCTGTGCTGTCCCCAAGAGCCAGTGCTTTCCCAGGCCCGTCGTATGACTGGTGGCACCAGTTCAAATCATGCTTATGTGATGTCTGTGACTGGAAGTCCTGTCTACTTTGCATTAATGCTTTAACTTACATTTCTGCACCCAGTGAAGCCATCTTTCTAAAGTATATGCAATGTTGATACTCGGTAAATGACGAGAGACACATCTTTGGAAGCCCTTTAAAGGGAGGCCCTGTCCACCTATATTTAAGTAGTGGACCCAGTTCAAGTCCTAGTCTTAAGATGAATTTCATCTATTGGGTAAGACAGAAAAAGCAAATACATCTTTGCTTTTGCTTTAGCATAAACTAATAAATTCAGGTACAATGAACTTGAGTACTCCAGCACAGCACTGGACAGGAAATCCATATTTCCAGGCTGGGAGGAACTTAATCTGGAAATCTGCAGACCATTATGAGGCCTTCATTCTTTTTTTTTCTCCCCACCCATAATCTGAAATATTATATGCATATTATGCATATGCTCAAAGATTTTTATTTCTAGGACAGTCTGTCTTCTGCATTTGAGGTTATGTAGAAGTTCAATTGCTGCTTCATTTCTTCTGTATTTTTTTCTCATTTTGAGATCTTTGAGTTGTTCTCAGGTGTGTAAATGCAGTTGCCTAGAGTGTAAAAGCAGCTCATTGTAAAGCATACATATAAAATAGATTAGATGAATTGCACCCTAAAAGTGTCTGTTTCTTTCGATTGACTATTTAGAGCCTGTAGTGACTAGCTCAGCTGTCTACACTTTATGTCTGCAGTAAACTAAGAATAATGGCTGAGCTAGAACAGGAGACAACATTCAGACTGGTTTCAGTGATGTGGACAAATTAAGGTGCCTCAGACATTAATGTGAGTAGTTACAGTTTTGTGGACTGCCAAACTTGAAATTATGAACAAGGGACTGAGGCTTCTATCTCCTGTTTCTTTGCTGAAGTCATGAATTCTTTGCATGACCTTAATTAACGTCATACATGAGGACTCCGGAAAACAATGACGTCTTGTCCGTGCAATTATTTCAGATGGTAGGAAAAAAGCCTTGGGTGTCAAGTCCATATAAAGAGCTACATTTCAAAAGCTAAGAATGTGGTCTGTTTGTTCCATTGAATTATCCCGCAGACCTTTATTAAGCCTGAACCTGGTTAGACAACCAGGAATTCCCACTATGTAGGGAGGTCTAGAGGGGTGAATGGGCAGGAAGGAAGCAGAGGAGCCATCACATGGGACAAAGCATCAGTGACTAGTCAACATTAACCAGGCCAGAAGAGAGCAGTGTCCTGTCCTGGGTCCCACCAGCCCCACGCACCAGCCACTGCTGTTGTGACTGGTTCACAACCATGAAAGATTTTTCCTCTTTTTCAAGGATTCACATATATTTTTTGTCCATGCTTATTCCAGCATCACAGGATACTCCTTGATCTCAAGTCCCCACGCTGTGACTGACCAGGTCAAAGCTGAAGTGATTTGTAGGGTTATGCTCTTCCCCACCCTCCTCACTCATCAGCAGAGAGCCACCTTCTGACCACTGTGCATCAAGTCCTTTAAGTGCCTGGACATCGACACCAGTGGCTGAGGAACCACTGCCTGTGAATCCCTGCTGTTCCCTCAGGTGCTCTGTGGCATTGGCTCTCACCTCTTTAGCTCAGAAAATAGGAAAAATGTGTGTATCTAACAGACTAACTAACCAGTGAACGTGCTTCTGTCACCTCACCAGACTTTCTTCACTGATAGATTTCATTAGGGAGGCAGAGGAAGAAGAGTTGTAGTTTCAGGGTTGTGGGGTAGGAGGGATATGTTTTTTGTATCTGTCTTGTTGTCCAAAAAGTTTTTGCTTCCCATCTTACGTACAGCCATGGTTCAGTTTCCTGACTGGTACACTCAGAAGGGGATTTTACCACTAGATCAATTGTAGACACTGTCTTTACCTTGCAGATAGGACTCATGGGCTTTAGTTGTCCGGTGGGCTATTTTTGACAACGACTGCAAACTAAACTCTTCTCTCCAGAAAACTTTTTGTGGAAGGAACCACCTGTTACAGTATATGTGTGCCATGCCTAACACATGGGAATCCCCAGTTCTAATTTGACAGCACCAGCAGCAGTGCTAATGGTAGCAATAAAGTAGTAGTGGTAATGATAATAATAATCATCACCATCATCTTCATCATCTATGCCTTAAATACAATGAAAAGGCACCCCATTATTATGGGGGTTGCCCTGAACGAAATCTTTGATAGCAGGGCAGCACAAGCAAGTTATGATAAGGGTAAATTAGTATGTGGAGTTACAATAGGTGGAGTATGCTGCAGGGAGGGCAGATAGCTTAGTCCTACCCCACCGTGGGCTAAGTGCATGCACATACTGTAGACTGTCTAATCTCTCAATGAAAGTGGTGTCATGCTTCAAGCTTACCACGGTATTAGCTCCACCTTAGGTCTCTCTTTGTAACGACAAGTGTAGAGTGACCCCATTACACTCACATTGCTTAGCAGCCCTTTAGCCCAGAAAGAGTTTCTGGATAACATTTTGACACAGGTTGCTTTTGGATGCATGCCACTCGTGCCTCTGGTTGCACTTGTAGCCTTGAAGAGATCTGAGATATATAGACGTGCTCTGTGGGAATCATCCCCCCTAAATTTGGACACTTATACTGTAGATACCTCCATCTGCTCATCACCTCAGCCTCCCCTTTACAGTTGGTGGAGAGGAATAGATGTTTTTAGGGCCCAGCTCATCTGGCCTATTTCAGATGTCTATTTCAAGAGGGGATTTTTCACACCCTAGAAGAGTAGTCCACCGACTGGAGAAGGAACTCGTTGACTAGCTCAGACATAGGTGTCTATGTTGTACAGATGAATCCACCCACAATTTTTAAGCAAGTGTATCACATCCTTCTGTTTCTCGATGAAGCCTGGCACATGTGTACGTCTCTGGTGCATTGGTCCCTGAAACTATCTTTGTCTTGTAAAGTTTCCTGATTTGGGTTTTCATGCCAAACCCGTATTTCATTGCAAGTCAGGTTCATCACAGCCTGTTATTACTGTTACTGCTGCCCATCTGGGCACCACCAGCTCTACCCCAATTAAAAACTGCCCAGTTCTCTACAAGGCCTCGAGGGCAGCATATTTCCATGACACAAAAACCAAGGGACAGAGACCGTTCTGCTGTCTCATTGCTCTGGATATATATTCGTATATATTTCCGTCCTCACACGCAGCTGAAAATTTCCCACTTTAAGCAAACAGGCTCTTCTTCCACAGAATGGTATGTGACATGCTCAGGGGGGGTGATGTGGACTGGAGAATTAGGGATTTTCTTTTTCTCCCACAAATAATTGCGGTTAGGCATGTGAAGTGGACTAACAAAAACTTTCTAGTGAATTTTCCCACTCCCTTTTTTTGTTAGGCCTGCTCTTCATTCTTGGCTGTCATGATTTTGTTGCCTTGCAAGGTACATTGTTTTTTTAAGTGATTTATAAGTACAGTACTTTTCAGTTAGAGCAATCAATTGAATAAATTACTTCCAAAAGTGAATAGGCATCACTCATGTACACTAACAATCTCAAATATTCCAAAACTGCATCAGGGCCCAAAAACAGTGAGAAAAGTTTTTAAATTCTGATTTTTAAAATTTTGATTCTTTTAATTTACCTTATAGGCTGCAGGCCTTTTACTTTTAGCAGAGGCATCTTAAAGCATTTTTTTAGCAGACACATCTTAAGGAGTTTTATAGCAGGCACAAAGATTTGAATTTTTGTTTAAATAAGCCCCAGATGTGCATCTAAGCCCATGATTCTGAGAGCTGAGGCTGTAAGAAAAAATAACGAATGTCCTGAAACTCATGACAAAATTAGTAAAACTGGCAACGTTGTTTATCCTTTTTATTAGACTTAATAGTTGGCTTATAGGTTGGTGGGTATGTAGTTATTCTGCCTAAATAGCAGACATATCACTCTAGGAAAGTACCACATTGCCAAGTTATGACACTGTAGCAGTTAATCACTGTCTTCTGCTGGTTTAGTGTGATCCCTTGAAAACCATATTTTGTGAACCACTGTTTTCAAGAAGTGCAAGGTACATAAAGAGACAGAATGAGATGTAACAGAAAAGCTGGAAGTTTTTTTGAACTTTGAAGCTGCCCTCACTTTGGTTTACCTTATGAGTCGAGGTATATTTTTCCTCATGTGCTTCTGATGTATGTCCTTTTCTTAAATACACCAGAACAATGGCAAGACTTCCACGTATAGTGAACGTTTTATTATATACCTAGTAAATTCAGTACATGCATAATGAATGTCACCAAACCAATCTGTATTTTCAGCAACAATCAAAAAGAATGCTGTTTATTTTAGAGTTAAGTGTTGTGAAAATAGATCTTCATCCAAGAGAAATGCTGCCTGTCCATTTTCAAGATTTACAGCTCAGGAAAGAAATTCCTCGTGTAAGATATTAGGGAGTATGCTTAAGAAAAAAATAAACTTAAGACAATCCAGCAAGCTTCCCATAGGTATTGGATAGCTCGATAATGAGTAAATTAGACACTTTTGAGAGAAGAAATATTTGTATCATATGAATTCCAACTTTTTTGCTTCTCTTGGGAACCTTTGCTCCCTATAGAGAGAATCCAGCCCTCAGCAGGTGATTCTGGAGACGCCCCTGGCTAAGCAGGAAACCTGTGTCGCCCTCAGGCACCTCCTTTATATAGGGAGTTAAGTAAGAGACTCTTTTAAGTTAGAGACTGTGAATAGTCTCTCTAGAGCAAACTTTCTTCCAGGGCATTGATGATTTGCATGTTAGGCTCGTGACACGCTTTTTGATTATTCATATGCAATAGCCTAGTGGATCAAATTTTGGTTCCAGCTAAGGAAATTAGGAGACTTTTCAAATTGGCTTCTGCGGGCTTAGGTTGTGGCTGGCCACCTACTCCATCATTTATTTCGTTTGGGTTTTTTTGCCTTTCCTCTTCATTTTCTAACATTCAAATTACTGATTGCAAGAAGCACTAGAAAACACTCGCACATTATTCTGAAATAACATTGTCTGAGCTGTGGTTACATTTGAAATCGTAATTATCCCACTTCTTCACTGTCCAAACACAATTATATTTTAGATGCTCTCTTATAACTTGATCTTGTTGTGACAGGAACGAAGAGAAAAACTAACAGCTGCACAATACTCACAAAATGAGCACTTGACAATACCACCACACGACAAATGTTTGTGGGATCTCACAGGATTATAACATCAATACCAGACAGATTACATGAACCGCCTGGTTAGCCCTCCAGCTCCCCACTACATGCGTCTCTGTATGCTTTTGAAATACTTCTTGTTTTTATTGCGGTGGCACAGGACGCAAAATACATATCCCTAGCTTTCCAACTACCTCCCCCATTAGCATCAGCCATACCCCTGCCTTGTTTTCCTCCATTCCTATCGCCTTTATTTTTTCTTTTGTTTGGAAACTTGGGAGCGTTTCCCAGTAAAGCCGATGCCAGTAGTGCTGCGTGAATCATCCTTAGAACTGATGAATCACGGAAGCCGTCCTCCTTCCCAACCCCATTCAGAAACGAAAAGTATCCCCACCTGTGCGGCAAGCCCCACATCTCCTGTCCCACCACGCAGGGCCAGGGCCAGGGGATTGCCGCGGTGTGGGGCCGGCTCTTTGACCAGAGGAAAATCTCTGTGGCACCAGGAAGGACCCGACATTTCGGTGGCCCTAAGGGAGCCCCGGGGCACAGGCAGCAGGATCTCATCACTAAGCTCCTTGCCATCTGCTTCCCTTTCAGCCCGAGCCACCCTCGTCCAACAAGTGGCAGCTGGACAAGTGGCTGAATAAAGTCACCCCGCACAAAGCACCCATCCTGAGCCACCATGACGGCCCGGCGCTGGAGGCCCATCCCTACTACGGCCGCGTGAAGGCGGAGCGGCAGGAAAGCGAGAAGAGCCAGG